GTCGTGGTTGTTTGGCGGGTCCGGGCTGGGGATTCGAACCCGCCACCTTAGGTGTACGTGGCTGGCGCCTTAGCTGGTTGAGCCATAGGCGCCGAGCCTCCATATTATTTTTATATGAAAAAGTAATGGGAGAAAATAGCCAATTTTATTAATTAACAAAATATAAAGTTATCATGTTTTAGCCATAATAGCAGGCACCTCTTGAGGAAAATATTAAATGTCTGCCTTAATATTGGTTGTAGGAGAAGGAGCACAATAAAGAACCAGATTCAAGCCTGAGCAAAGAAGATGACAAGGATGCACCAAGGACTGAGGAAAACAAAGTGCAGCAAAATGGCAGTTGTCAGCCAAATGAAGAAAACCTCTCTACCAAAACAGAAGCCGTATAGGACCAACAAACGCATCTTTACACTCAGTGCTGGAATAAAATCCAAAGCTTTTAATTCTCTCAACAGGATGTAAACGGAGAAGAAATCTATAGGTGACTTTGTGGCCATCTTGTTGCTGAGTAAGAAAATAAAGCATGAACATCATGAAAACAACAGATGTTACCCAAATCCATCTTCTAAAATCTGTGCATTTCCATGGTGGCTGACACACTTGTCGTGTGGTTTGTTAGTGTTTGCCAAGAACCATTGCAAATAAATCGAACATCAAAGATCTAAATTTGTACCATCCCTAAGGACTGGAGATAAGCATTGGAGGCTCTTTTAAAAAATGGTAGTTACTGAATTTTGTATTGTTTTACTGTTTCTTTTTTATTTCAGTATATACAGTTTGATGATGTGCTTGAAATTGGTGCAGATATATACACACCTTGTAAGTGCAAAGTATGTAAGAAGTTTTAACATTTACTTCACAAGATTTACAGTGATGTGTTAAATTCTCACTATTGTGTTTTCTTTTGCTCACTGTTTAGGACAACGGTTTTCTTTAAAATAGTTTTGCAGATTAAAATTGCTTAATAAGTGGATTAAAAAACCAACTGAAAATGCATGCTACTGTTCTTTTTCAAAAGGAAGAACAGCTGTGTTGAATACTAATAATAATGTATTAGTATTCGGTGTTTAGAATTGTTGGGTCTACCCACCAAGTGAGCATTTATTTTTGAACTTTCTTGACATTTCCAAGCTTCTTATGAATAATATTGCAGTGTGTCTTGTCAGCTGTAGGTGGCAAAGGTGCCCTTTTAAAAAGGAATCTAGGTTTTCAAATGGGCTATGGGAGCACAAGCTGAAGCTTTAGTGCCTTCTACAATGTGGTATACTGTTTTCTAGAATTTTATATGTGCTAGTCATTCTCAATCATATGGAATCTAGATGGATATTTCATTCATACCCATTAGAGAAGTGTGCAGGTGGTATGTCCGAAGAGCTTCTTACTTATTTCGCCTAATATGAGAAGGAAGTCCTGTTTTCAAGAATGACTATTTAGAGTCATACAGTTTTGGGACCATCACTTTTATACTGTGATAATTGAAAATGAAACATGTTCTTATTTTCCTTGAATCAGAGGAAACACTTTAGTTGTCTATATTGGATGGCCTTAATTATTACCTCTCAATTGTCTTTGCATAAATAATGTGCAGAAATTATACTTAAAGGGAGGGTAGGACTATATGGGAGGTTTTCTTTTTTATGTTTAAGGATATATTTACTTGTTAAGATATAGGTCATCCATCATTCTTAGGCTCACATTTTGCAGAAAGTATGCAAATAATAAAATGACAACGTTGCTGTTTTTCCCCAAAACTATAACTTGTAGTTTCTGAACTCTTCATTATGGTTATATTTTCCAAAAAGTAATCTTTTAATTAGCATGTTACTAAAAAATCAAGTATAATTTTAATGCAGTCTAATACAATCAAATTACTCAGTTGCCTTACCTCATGGGAAGAGTTAATTTTATAAATTTAAAAAGCTGGTAGCACATTAGTTACTTGGTTTCCACTTGAGTTTTCTTTTAATGTTAGTACTATTGAAACCTAAGTATTTGGTGGAAAATGGAAAGAGTTGCCCTTATTGCAAGTAATGATGAAGCCTGGTTTAATTATGAAGCTGCTTAATCACTCTTCACGTGTTCAAAATTACTGTTTGTTGTTTTTTCCTTTTTGTCACTGTGTACATTAAAATTTTGGAAAATGCTTTACTATGTAAAGTATAGATGGTCATTTTAATCATTCAGCCACATATGGTTGGCTGGTAAACAGCTTATTCTGATACAAGAATGCTTGGGTACAAATGGAAAGATTGTGAAAGAGTGTGTGTCTTACACCAACAGCTATCTTATTTATGATATGTAAGTAGCATAGAGCTAATGTTTGAATCTTTGTTATTTTTAGTACTATTTCTCTAATAAAGCTAAGTATTTGAGGAAAATATTTGTTTATGCATTTTAAAAAAGAATTTTAGTCTCATCCTGCTCTGTTATAGTTGGCATAGAGATTGTTTTAACATGGAGTGTGTGTGGTATCTATAAAACAGTCAATTAAGATTTGAATGTTTTCCTGTACTCTGGACTCTGACTAAATGTTTTTAATTTTAGTAATTAACATTTAATTTGGTTTGTGCTGCTGATTATTTTTCTTGTTGATACTTATTCAGCTTTGAAATAACCATACTAATTCTATTTTGTAAAAGCTGAGAATGAGTAGGAATACAAGAGTTCTGGAGAAAGTGAGATCAGATTATTATGGGAGGTTGACATTTCCTTGCATGGGCTTACAGAAGCAAAGCCTTCTTGGGTCTAGTAGGGAGTGGGGTATGTGTGTGTATGTGAGTGAGAGAGACTTACTTTCTCTGTTCACTTGTAAGAGTTCCTATGTTTTTATTTATATTTTTTTTTCTGGTCCTTTAAGACTGTTCTTTTTCATCCCATGTAGATGTTGTCAGAAAAACTTGAGGTAAGGTAAAGAAGATAGCCATTTTACACTCAATACCTTCTATCCTTCTGTAATATCATTTTACTTGATTATACAGAGAGTATACTCTTAAATTGCAGTTGCTATTTATCATTTGTAGACGAATTCTGTTGGTACTCTTATTCTTGCTTTTCAGCAGTGCACGCTTGAAGTGGTAACAGAAGATGGTCCTTCATAAGGTAGCCAGTCAGTTCCATGTGTCAAAACTTCTAAGTGCTTACTTAAGTTTTGCAATAATCTTCTTAGTTACTATTTGCCATCTAATGTTGGTTTATAATGGCAAACACTAGTCATGACGCTTGTGGTCTTCCTCTGTGTTAAAAATGCTTTTTTGAAAGAGTTTTAATGTTTGCTATGTTGATCTTCGGAATTCTCAGCTTAGATTTTGACATGGTCAATTAAAAATAAAAACTGGCATTTGTAATTAAAAGGGTTTTTTTGGTGGAGAAAGTAAGTGATAGTAATCACTTTCGGGGTCCTTAGTCCTTCCTATGTATATGTTGATATCTGTAGTTTAAAACACCACAAAACGAAGAAGAACTCTACTCCAAATTTCCTTTCAACTAAAGATATTACTTAAGCTTAAGGGTTATAATGTATAATAATAGGTTTTTAAAAGCTTTTCCCCCCTAATCTACTAGAAATAAAGCATATGATTTGATTTAATCATCTTTCTGTAGTTGTTGGATTAGTATTTAAAATGAGTCCTTTTGGAGGGATGCACTGAATAGCTTACTCCAGTGAGTCATTTTTTTATATTTTCATTAGAAGATAGTATATGATTGTATCTGAGTGGGTTATGAAGTAGAGCCATTCCCACAAACTAAATGTGCAGTGACCATATATTCCTTATGTGTTTAAATATTTTTTATTTTCATTACATATATACTTAATACTTTCTCCTATTTATTTACTAATGTAATACTCACTTGAAATTGTTTATTTTCAAATTTCAAAAGCTAGTGCTCTTTAAAGGGCTAAATTATATTTCTGGAAGGAGGAGTCTAGTAAGTGAAATAAAAGGATCTTTTAAGAGTAAAATTGACTTCCCTGCTTAAACTTGGGTTTGTGAATATGTTCGTTTCTTTTTAGTATACTTTTTTAGGTGGTTTTTGCCTAAAGAGTGATATATTATTTTAAAAGTAAAAGCTAAAACCGTTTATAATTTTTGGTCGTAGTCTGGTTGGATTAAGTATCTAATAACTAGCTTTCTTTCCATTCCATTCTGATAATGTTAACAGTTTCTAGCAACTGATTTGTTAGAATTATTAGTTTATATCTAAAATAACTTTTTAAAAATGTTTTTTAAAGTAGGTTTGTTGTCTGTTGCTTGATTTTTAAATTGATATCTGGCTACCATTTTAATTTTGAAAATTGCCAACTTTGGGGAAACCTCACAAATTGTACCTCTACATTTTATTTTTCCAGGATTGGAATGGATTAGTTGTTTCAGCTATTGTTGATTAGTTTTTATTTGTTAGACAGATAATTTCTTAGAGATATAAATATTACACATATAATCAAATTCATAAAAATCATACTGAAAGAATTAGAAGAGCTTGATCTTCGGGAGTAATCTAAAGAGTTCATGTTTAAAGATTAAACTTGAGCATACGGTGTAGCTTTATAGATCAATTTAAAGGTTACATAATTACTTCCTTGATCTTACTAGTTTAATAGAACAGTGCTATGGATTATCAAGGGAAGAGTTTAAATGTAAACATAAACATGCTGCATAGGTGGTGTATATTTGTGAGTAGGACTACTTTTAAATGGTACTAGTAAAGATTTATCAAATGCTGCTATTATGTTGCTATATTTTTAATAAAATGTAAATCTTAAAATTTTCTCACTGTTGAGTAGTAATTTCACCTATTTCTGGGACACTTATTTGCAGTACTCATAAATGCAAGATGATAATAGGCTCTTCCAGGGTTCAAAATTATTGCCAAAATCAAGGGTTTTGTATATTGGGGAATATTCATGTTATGTGGCAATAATTCTAGTTAAGGCTTTTCATATTAAACATTTTGTAGTGTTTAAGTAAGTGATAACTTCTCTCTGAATCTACCTTTCCCCACAGAATTGGCTTCTTAACTGTAATAGTGTATTTGAACAAGGAAGATCGTCACTTTGTTTTTTAACAGCAAGTAGAATGTCATCTCACATTTATCAAAAGTGTAGCTCATCATTTGGTGGATGAGCTGTGTGCTTAGGATGGTGGTTTAAGTGAAGTACCCTATTAGTCATAAGTGCCTCTAAAAAAATTACTTGTCAGATTTGTAAATTTAGAATCCTGTGTGACCGGATGGCTTTATTGGCCAAGAGATGGTGAGGCTATGTATATTGATTTCTCTGTGTAGGCCAGCTCTTTTAGCTGCTTTCTGTGATTAAGGTCTATGAGCCATTTTGGTTTCAAATGTGTTAAATTGCAGTTGTGGGTATGGGAGAGGCCTTTCAAGTATACCCCTTTCCAGTAGTGGGATTGGACTTTTCTGTATGTGACCTTCTCACAGGACTTCTTAGAGGAGTGCCAGGTTGAATTAGAAGCCACTTTCACAGCACAGGCAACTTGGGACCAGCATGCTTCTCCTTGGTATGGTCAGGGATTCATCTTTGGTGAGCCTAGGGCTGGCCCACAGATCACATAGTGGTGCTGGAGGACAAAGGGGAGATTTATAAACTAATAAGAATTGAGGGAGACCATGTGGGCAGAACAGAAGAGTGCAGTGTAAGGCTCAGCTCTAAAACACTCCTAGAGTAGCCCTCCCCTCGCAGGAAAGCTGCATTTTCAGCCCATGGTAAAATCCTGCACGGGGAAGATCCTAGCCCACAGTGCCATTGTTGAGGAGGGCAGCTATTTTAGGGTCCATCCTAATGGCAAATGCAGGAGAGTGGGGAGAAGAGTGAAACCTGATCTTGACAGATTATGAATCTCAGGTGGCCCTGTTCCCATAAACAGACTTCCTGGCTTGGTGGGACTACTTCAGCTCCTACCTGGTGGCTTTCCCCAGCAGCCTAGGAATAGACCATGGACTGCTGCTGAGAGAGCAAACTCATTGGCTTTTGTGGAGACTGAGGGTAGGCTCATTCAACCCAGCCTTACTCCCCTACCCACTCTGCTGTGGTGGAAAATAAGAACTCACCTGCAAGTTCCAGTGCCCTGAGCACAACCTGGGGCTTTTGAGTCCTTCTCCAGAGGGGCTAGAGTCATTAAAATCTCCAAAACAACACTGCAGCTGATTTGTTCCAGCAAACACCACATACTGATAGGGAGGGCACTTTACAACATTTACTGACTCAATTATACAAAGTATGGTTGATTCTTACCCATAAGCTCCACCTACTGTCTTGGATTAAACTGGGCATCTCAATGTAATTTGTGCTATTAAGAAAACCACAGGGCTAGGGAATGAGAAAGGATTTCAAAGATCTCCATTCCCTTATCAAAAAAGGACAGGGAAGGCGGCACCTGTGGCTTAAAGGAGTAGGGCGTCAGCCCCATATACAGGAGGTGGTGGGTTCAAACCCAGCCCCGGCCAAAAACTGCCCCCAAAAAAGAAAAAGAAAAAAAGATGGAATACATAGCTCACCCCACTACACCTTGTGGAAAACTAGCAACTGAGAAAAACACCACAATAAGGATATCTATAGCCAAAGCATCTGTCCAGAATCTAGATCACCATCAAAGCACCCACAAGCAAAGTGAAAGGTTATTACCCAACATATGCTACAGACACACCATAATCAGTGGAGGTGGGGAGGGAAGCCCCCTCAAGAAAATCCAAGGCCAGGCATGGAGATTCATACTTAAAATCCTAGCACTATGGGAGGCTGAGGCAGGAAGCTTGCCTGAGGCCAGGAATTTGAGACCATCCTGAGTAAGGGTGAGACCTTACCTCTACAAAAAATAGAACAATTGAGTGTAATGGTGCACATCTGTAGTCCTAGCTATTCAGGAGGTGGAAGCAAAAGAATTATTTGAGTCTAGCAGTTTTGAGGTCCCAGTGAGTTATGATGATGCCACTACACTCTGGCCTGGGTAACAAGAGTTAGACTCTGTATTAAAAAGTAAATTAAGGCTCGGTGCCTGTGACTCAAGGTGCCAGCCGCATACACCTGAATTGGTGGGTTTGAATCCACCCCGGGCCTGCCAAACAACAATGATGGCTGCAACCAAAAAAAAAAAAAAAAATAGCCAGGCATTGTGGTGGTCACCTGTAGTCCCAGCTACTTAGGAGACGGAGGCAGGAGAATTGCTTGAGCCCAGGAGTTGGAGGTTGCTGTGAGCTGTGATGTCACAGCACTCTACCAGGATGATAGCTTGAACTGTCTCAAAAAAAAGAAAAGGAAATTAAAAACCTGAGGTAGTGTGTGTGTGGGGAAACCAAAAGCAAGAAGGGAGAGAACTGCAACAGATGAGAAGGAATCAACACAAGAACTCTGGAAGTAT